ATCCCTTCCAGTATCTTGCTGGGAATCTCAGGGTTGTCCCATCTAATTTCTTTGGATTAAGAAAAGGATGATTAGCCTTTAACGATGAAAGCGATTTATTTATCCTATTACTGTCCAAGCTTACATTTACATTTTGTGCGCTGTCCATGCAAACCTATATAATAGTTCATCTTAGGTATTCTTCTTAGAGGGATGGCAAAGAATGATTTTTTTCTTTCTCCAAAGAGAAGGTAAATGCTAAGAAAGACTTATCACTTTATAAAGTCTCATCCGCAAATATTTTAAGACTGAAAATGACTCCAAACAGCCAGAACTATGATTTTATATGAATGTCACATATTAAATGCCTTTCACACACACATATAAAAGTGAACTCATATCAGTTACGAGGAAATTAACGCAAAAATTCTTGCTCATTTGGAAAATTTTAACTTTCAGGTCTTTAGTCTTTTTCTCCCCTTAGTCATCTTTCAACGTTTTCAACTCTAATAAACAAGGTTTGAAGAACAATAAACTTTAAATTCATCATGTAGATGCTGATTTAATGAGAAAGTATTTGACCTAACTCTCCTAATGAATTGTTGAGGTCTTTCTTTAACTACAGACTGGTCTCTGGAGGGCCTCTAAGGGCTGAGGCCAAAGCAGCCTGCTAGCATGGGGTCCTGGCCTTCCAACATCTCCCTGGCAGCACTTACCCTTTCTTGGGGAGAAACAAAAGAAAGAGGCTTCTCTGTCTTCCTATTTCAATGATCTTATTTCTTTTCTTGGTCAAGAATGTTTTGTGAGGATGATATAGTTTGGGAACAGCTTTAGATTATGAATTACAGAGAGTTTCTTCTATAAGCCAAGTGTTTGTTACACACTAATTGCAAAGTTTTCTATCAATTTATAACTTTAAACATTTACATGAATTCCCTATGTTTGTGAGTGTATCTGGCTTTTCCAGCAAGTTGAAAAGAAAATATAATGTTAAAGATTGGGCTGAATTTAAATGTTGTGTCAAGCAAATATCTGTGCTTCTGGATAATATAGACAAGGTTTCCCTTATCTTCCCAAATAAATGAGGGATAATGGGACAAAATAACGTTTAAAAGAGGTATAATTGTGCTTTTTTCCCAACAATGAATGAATGACGTAGAATAAATTGGCAAGAAAAGATGATGTCACTAAAAATCTTTTAATCAATCTTATTTTCCCTTTTTTTAAAACAAAAAAAGATTAATTTCTTATAATGCTACCATGAAGTATAAATAGGTATGGTCCTATACAAAATGAAAGTTGGATTCCTTTGGTTCCATTTCTCGAGTAACGAGTTGAGTAAATTGGGATGGTACTGATCTTTCTGATAATAAATAAAAGGAAGTGTGTATTATATCAATGAATATAAACAATTTTTTTCTTAATTCTAAAAAGCTGCCTATAGAACTTCAGAAACATTTAAACTAATACAGCACTCAACTTGGTTCTTAGAACAATAGAGTAAATATTGTTCCTGTGAGAAGCCCTTTTTTAGGTCTTCCTGCTCTGTCCTTCAAATTTATACAGGGTATAAATAAAGTTTATGACCAAATTTCACCACTTGTGACAAGCAGGATTCAAACAATTACATTCACCACTCCCTAGGGAGGGCCCATTACCATGGGCAAATATAGTATTACTATAAATGCATTTAGAAGTAGTCTTTGGCTTAGTATGTGTTAACCAAATTCAGGGATAAAATAAAACTTGCATAAACATTAAGTGGGAACAAAAAGAAGAATGATACAATCAATTGTGATGACCTAGCTGGTCTTTCTTCTTCAAAATGCAAAAACTCTACCAAATACCTCTTTTTGGTCAAATGGCCCCCTATAGTTTCCAGACTCTCCCTTATATAAGGTGGCTAAAAGTTAAGTTTGAGTACCTTATCTCAGGAGATAGTTCATTCAATTCAAAATGCATTTCTTGAGATGATAAAAAAAGATGATGGATAAAGTAAAAAATGACTAAGGTGTTCATGAAGCAATATGATCAGCAGAACATCTAGGGATGGTGATGGGGAGTTGATTTTAAACTAAACGCCCACCAACAAACTATATTAGTGTTTCAGGTGTACACATGTACATGTACCCTTTACTTTTCGATAAGTGAAAAAAGAGAAAAAATTTTATCTTTGCCTGAAGATTTACCTTTGTCTAAAGATTATTCTTTTAAACAGATTTTTTTATGCTGGTTTAAGGTACTACCCTCATCAAGTGATCTACACACCAAAAGGCAGAATCCCCTTATCCCAAATTGACTAGAGAGAGAATACAGAACAGGGCATAGAAATAAATGACCATTGTACTGACATTTAAAGCTTAGTATCTTTTTTAATATTAAAGTCTTTTGTTGTATCTTATTTGGGAAAGGGATCATTTCTTTAACCACATGTAAAAAAAAAAAAAAAACCAAAAAACAAAAACAAAGTCTTTCCTTGCCCTTCCTTCTTATGGGCTTGAGTCCCTTGGGACTCCACACTTCCTTTGGTAGCAATTTTGGGAAATTAATGCTATAACCTCTAATCCAGTGTGGTGGGTATGAGCATTTCCCTTCCCAAATCCTTCCTTCTAACTTTCGTCACTCCCAAGAGAAGGACGCATTGCTATGGGCAGCTACAATATCACTGACAGCCCTGAAATCATTTGCACAGACTAAAGTTAGAGATGGCAAGTCAGGATAGAAGATTAAATTTAACTACAACAGAGAAAAGGCAGATGGGGAGGAGAAAAATTAGTAACTGACACTGCCATTCTATTTACACACCAACCTAAATAAACTAGTTAAACATCAAGTTAATGTCTGCCCAGAAGATATTACAATTTACCAACATAAAAGATTAAAAACAAGCAGCAACTTTTATATAAAATTAATAAAGACAAATGAAAAAGAAATTGTCAGTAGCATCTATCTCCTCGATGTGTCTGAACTGCACATTATAAACTAGTCCATTAGTACAGCAGCTTGCTAAAAATTGACTTTGGTTCAAGCTTAGTTTAAAAAAAAAACAACACATAAAAAACACACCACACAAAATAGGTGGATGGACATTTGTTAATTTCCCTGCTTGTAGTTCACTGATTTTGGAGTGATTTTAGGGAAGGTGAGGGGTAAGAAGAGGAAATTTAGGGGTGGTAATTTAAATACTCTGTGAAATAAAATAAGACAGAAAAAAAAAAAAAACAAAGAAAAATTTAAAAGGGGACTAAAATATTTCTGACTTTTTAATATTACTGTGACTGTCTCCCATTTGAATCACAAACAAAAGTCCACACTGTGTCGTATTACTGCCTTTCTGCACAATGGTGAAGAGAGAGACAAAGACACAGAATCCAGGCTCCCTTGTGGACACAAGCAAAGCAATCAGATTGAAAACCACCTGTAAGCTCTCTCTACACCCCCAGCTTCAAAGGGAGAAAAAGTGCAGTCTTGGGACCACCGGAGATTTAAGCAAGCACCCACAGACACCAAATGGGAACCTTTAACTCCAATAAGAGGAACTCAGATGAGCTGCACTGCAGTAATCCAGTCTTTTGGAAAATATTTTGGTACAGATGGCATAGAAACAGTACACTGACAAAAAGGGAAATTTAATCTCCAAGTTACCCTCGTTCCTCTTCATCCACTTTCACAAGCTCTTCCTTTTCAGTGGGCTCATTTATATAGTCTAGAAACACCCTGAAAACAATTACAGGAGCTAATCTTTCTATACTGATGAAGAGATGTGAATTACCTAGCAGGAGCATCACGAACAAACCAAGGAGACTCTTGAGATGTGTGCAAAGTTCCTGCTCAAAATCCTTCTTCTTGAAAGGTTCTACAGATCCCATGCCTGGCTACTAAGTGCCTCCTTTAGTCAGAGAACCAAGGAGAATCTCAGGGTCAGAGGAACTTATAAGCCATCCAGTGGAAAGGAAGTCTGCAGATTTCTAGAGGAAAAGGTGGTAGCCTCAGACTCTTCTCATCACACCTCTTTTGGATATATAATTGATGGAAATAGTCTAGTAGAATTCTTTTAGAAAATAAAAGAAGGGAAAAAGTTCCCCAATTTCAGTAAGTCAGTTTGTTCTTTGCCAAGTAAGTTAAAGGAAGTCTGGATGAAAAACTTCTGCAAAATGGAAAAAACAAACACACCAACAGTAGGAGCATCTTTCAGGAGATAAGAAATCAGGAGAACCACCAAGTCAGGTGTCTGCAGTAGTCTTTGCTCTTCGGAACCAAATCCTGCCCTGCAACATGTACAGCTGTTCCCATTGAAAGTAGCAGAAAGCAGCACTGTTGCACCACAGGATCTGGGCCTCAGGGTCATTCAATGATTTGGGGGTGAGTGAGAGCTACAGTTCAGCAGGAATTCCTTCCTACACAAAAGTGCTCCAAAGGCACCACCTGATGGGGGGAGGGGGAGGGGACATGTGTGGAGTGGGAGTGTTTGCACACACCGCCTTCAGCTTCTGCACCAAGCCTCTTGCATAAGTGGCAAAAGAAAATAATTTTCTAGCACCTCTGTAAGAGTCATCAAGGATAAGGAAACCAGCAAGAACATTCCCCGCAGTTAAGAACAGAAGTCTCCCCTTACCCCAAAACCCTCCCTCCCCACAGTGTGGGAGCTCACTGAAATAGGATCCAGGAGCAAGAGATAAACATGTCCAAACTATATATATATATAAAAAACAATAACAACAACAATAATAATAGAGATACAGTAATACAGGCCTGCCTAAATTGTACCAGTTAAGAAAGGAACCCCCAACACAATTGATACGATTATAAACACCTTGTTATGACTTAATGGCCTGTACAACAGACCCATAAAAATGATTTTTTTTAAGATAAAAAGAAATTTAGATAAACAAGAAATCCCCTTCCTATATTGGAATTGGTAACCCACCTTAACTTGTCATCATGACTGCTGGAAATGATAAGTAGTCCTTTCTCTTATTTTTTTGTTTGTTTGTTTTTGATTTTTTGTTTCTTTTTTTTTAAATTTTTGGTTAGAAAGTTCTCCAATCCATGAAGCAATCCTGAAAAGACAGTGTTTTATTAAAAAATTAGGCAAATGTTGTCCCATCTCCATCCTTTCTTTTTTTCTGGTATGTGTTTTCCTTCTCTCCCTTCTCTCCTTTGCCCTCACAACATGGCGAGAGGAAGCCAATCACATTTTTCAGTTTATTAACCTGGCTGGCAGCCCAATCACACTGCAGAGTGAAAAAGGCTCCTGGCAGCCCAGCTCTGCCCAGCTCACTGTGCCTTGGAGGCGGTGGTGGTGGTGGACGCAGCCCCGCTGGCAGAGGCCACTGTGAAGAGAGAGTTCTGGATGGACTCAGCTGAGGTGGAGGTGGCGTGAAGGCTGGCTACAGGTGCAGAGTTCCCTGCAGAGGCTGCGGCAGCAGAGACCAAGCTAACCGGGTTGCTGGTGAGCAGAGAGAGGTTCTGAGGGTTCAGGAACAGAGGGGCAGTCACGATGTTGGGGGCTCCTCCTGCATTGGCAAATACCAGGTTCCCAGTTGCATCCAGTGACGTTATTGGAAGAGAGCCACCAGAAGCAAGAGCTACAGACAAAAATCCAAAAAACAGGCAGTGAGAAGAATGTTAACATAAGCCTGGAGGAGCCAAATAGATTCAAAGGTCTATTGAGTTTTCCTATAACCCAGTAGGAAAAAGTGCAGCCCTTCACTGATTTTTTTTCTCACAGTGCTGTATTGACACAAGTTACGGTTTATTTATAATTTTGAAGAGCCTAAAGGACAAAGAAATCCAACTAATTTAATGTATGAGCAGGGTAGATTAAGAGAGAGAGTTAATAAGAACTGTCTAATGAATCAGAGTCATGTTTGTATCTTGAAATCTCAAGTTTATTTAATTTACCTCAACATATTCGATAAATCCAATAATTTTGTCTTTAATGAAGAGTGCCAATTTTAAACTACCTCTATTCAAAAGACAAGCTAGCTAAAGTAATTAAAGCATTAAAAATATATTTAGCTTTTATAAATCAACTGGTCTTATTGATAAATTTGATATAAAAGACAAATGCCATCTTTTAAAAAAGGTTTTGTTCTAAAATAAATTATACATCATCAAATAAAATAAAACTTTTGGCCCTGAGAACTCTCATTTAAGTACAACTATTTTATTTTTATTTCAATTTATTTTTGAGATGAGGTCTTGCTATGTTGCCCATGCTGGAGTGCAGTGGCTATTCACAGGTGCTATCATAATGCACTGGAACCTCAAACTCCTGGCTTCAAGTGATCCTCTACCTCAGCCTCCCATCAAATTATTATAATTTTAAGAAAAAAAATATTGTCTGATTAATATAGCGATATCTCTCAAATTGTTTCCTTGAATCGCGTAACAGCAAGCATCTTCAGACACAAAGCTCAGACACTAAACAAGGGAAACCCTTCACTGTGTGGAATGAATATTGTCCTGGATAACATGCTAAAGGGCCGAAAGGTACCCAAGAAGGCTTGGAAAAGAGACATTATGATCTGAGAGAATATGTGCTCCCACTGACAGGGATATAAAAAGAGCAGAACCTAATAAGAATTAAAAGTACCCTTGAAGTCTACCTAATGTGCTCCAGTGTTAATTCATTCATTATAGAACTTTCCCATACATGGCTTTCTTAGGGGTGGGGATAAGGAATTGGGAAGTCTTATTTGGTCAAATTTGCCTGGAGAGGGGTCTTAGATGAGTACTCGGATAAACTTATCAGGGGAAAAATCTGCCTCCAAGTCTATTCACATACGATAAAATATCAGCATAAAAGTCCTAGATAAGCAAAATTGACAGACCTCTCATTAGATTAGCCAGGAATACAAGAGAAAGGACCCGAATAAGCTCAATCAGAAATGAAAAAGGAGATATTACAACTGATACCACAGAAATACAAAATATCATCTGTAAACACTATGAAAATCTCTATGTATATAAACTAGAAAATGTAGAGGAAATGGACAAATTCCTGGAAACACACAACCTCCCAAGACTCAATCAGGAGGAAACAGAACTCCTGAATAGACCAATAATAAGCAGCAAAACTGAAGCAGTAATAAAAAAATCTTCCAGTAAAAAAAAGTCCTGCACCAGATGGATTCACAGCCAAATTCTACCAGACCTACAAAGAAGAGCTGGTATCCATACTGCAGAAATTATTCTATAACATCGAGATGCAGAGAATCCTCTCTCATTCTATGAAGCCAGTATCACCTTGATACCAAAGCCAGGAAAAGACAACAAGGAAGTGAAAGATCTCTACAAGGAATACTACGGAACACTGAGGAAAGAAATCACAGACGACACAAACAAATGGAAAAACATATCACGCTCATAGATCAGTAGAATCAACATTGTTAAAATGTCCATACTATCCAAAGTTGATTTACAGATTCAGTGCAATTCTCATCAAAATACCAATGTCATATTTCACACATCTAGAAAAACTAATTTTATACTTCATTTGGAACCAGAAAAGAACTCAAATAACCAAAGCGATCTTAAGCAAAAAGAACAAATCTGGAGGTGTCACATTATCGGATTTCAAACTATACTACAAGGCTATAGTAACCAAAACAGCGTGGTATTGGCACAAAAATAGAGACATAGACCAATGGAACAGAACAGAGAACCCAGGTGTAAAACCATCTACATATAGCCAACTCATCTTTGACAAAGCAGACGACAGTATATACTGGGGAAAAGAAGCCCTGTTCAATAAATAAATGGTGCTGGGAAAATTGGATAGCCACAGGAAGAAGAATTAAACAGGATACCTATCTCACCACTCACAAAGATTAATTCAAGTTGTATAAAAGACTTAAATGTAAGACATGAAATCATAAGAATTCTAGAAGGAAATGTGGAAAAACTCTTCTAGATATTGGCCTAGGCAAAGAATTTATGAAGAAGATCCCAAAGGCACTTATGGCAACAACAAATATAAATAAAAGGGACTTAATTAAATTAAAAAGCTTCTGCACAGCTATGGAAATAATCAACAGAGCAAACAACCTACAGAATGGGAGAAAATATTTGCAAACTATACATCCGATAAAAGGCTTATTACCAGAATCTATAAAGAACTCAAATGAGCAAGAAAAAAATAAACAACCCTATTAAATAGTGGGCAAAAGACATCAACAGAAGCTTTTCAAAAGACAGACAAATGGCTCACAATGAGATATTACCTTAGCCTTGTTAAAATGGCTTTTATTAAAAAGCCCAAAAACAATAGATGCTGGTGTGGAAGCAGAGAGAAAGGAATGCTTATACAGGGTTAGTGGGATGGCAAATTAGTATAATCTCTATGGAAAACAGTATGGAGATTTTTCAAAGAACTAAAAGTAGACCTACCATTCAATCTAACAATCCCACTACTGGGTATCAACCCAATGGAAAAGAAGTCATTTTATCAAAAAGACACCTGTACTAGAATGTTTACTGCAGCACAGTTCACAATTGCAAAGGTGTGGAATCAACACAAGTGCCCATCAATTCATGAATGGATTAACAAAACGTGGTATATGTATACCACGGAATAATACTCAGCCATAAAAAGGATGGATTAATGCCTTTTGCAGCAATTTGGATGGAAGTGGGGACCATTATCCTAAGTGAAGTATCTCAAGAATAAAAAAAACAAATACCATATGTACTCTCTAATAAACTGGAACTAGCTGATGGGCACACAGAGGGAAGTAAAAGTCATTAGAAATCAAGCAATGGGGAGGGAGGAAGAGGGGAGGGAAAACCTACAGTGAACACTATTCAGGTGATGGGCACACTTACAGTCCTGACTCAAGCATTACAAAAGCTATCCATCTAACAAAAACCTTTGTACCCTCTTAATATGTTGAAAAACAAAAAACAAAAAAAGTCCTGGTCTCATACGATATACCCAACTAAGTATATTTGCTGTTCTTAGTCACAAACTAAACCTACACTTTTCTTACAAAGTGTCTTACAAGCACGTTTTCTTGGTCCTCAAGAACAAGTTAGTATTTGTCTCTCCCCATCACTTTCACCTCTAGCAAAGTAGGCTTCCTCCATTACACACACACCCACACAAGCTAAGTAAGGAAAAAGGTTCCACTGACCTTGAATAGTTGCCAGTGTACTGTTGCTCATCAGAGCTGGGCTGAGAGCACCGCCCAGGGTCCCTGGATTGAGACTGAGTAAGGCACCTCTGCAAGTCCAAAAGAGGGGTCACTTAGTACCATGCAGATACATCTGTCAGTTTGACAGCACACTCAAAAGGGATAAAGAGAGAAAAATGCAGCTAGGGAAGTATGTGGAAATATCTGTTATTTTCCCTTACTCTTACATGGTTTGGCCAATAGTTCTCGGTTACTGGTTTTCTTGATGCTTACTTGTACAAACAACGTTATAATCAGCATAAAATCCAAAACTTTTATAGTCATTCTGACTCTTCTTTGAATGACTTCATTCTCTTTTTTCCAAAACAAAAGAAAAAAACTCCAGAAAAAAGGATACATTTACAAGATGATTTTTATAATAGGTCTGACAGTAATATAATATTGGGACTTTTATTACTATATCTCTAATCTATGTTAGAGAATGAGAAAGCTGACGGTTGAGAGAGCTTAATGGAGAAAACAGAGTCAGGAATTCTGGGCTTTCTTCCTGGTCCCATCACTGAGGCAATCAGTGACCTGGTAGTCTGGGCCACAATCTGGAAACAAAGGTATGACTACTGCCCTTTCTAGGGTGTTAAGAAACTTAAACTCAACTATAATCAAGGTCCTTGCATGATCAAAGAACAGCCCAATTCAAAGAGATTATCATTTTAAAGAGATTTTTTTTCATTTAAGATGGTGGTGAAAAGTCTCCCCTACGAGTAATTCCAGGCATGATGTCCTAGTTGTTTCTCAGATGTGAATGCACGAGAAAGCACCTTACCCAGCCGCAAACTGCGAGGGTGCCATCAGGCCTGGGTTTAGTCCTGCAGCAGCAGCCATGGCAGCGAGACTGGCATTTGCTGGCAACTGTGCAGCTCCTTGGAGGGCGGCAGCTGCTGCTGTTTGCAAGCTTGATGCTGTCACCATCACCTGGCTGGTCCCAAGAGGGGAGGACAAAGGAGTGGAGGTGGTCTGTGTTGTGCTGGTCTCACTGGCACTGGATGCCTCGGAGGTGGAGGCTGAGGCGGAAGGGGAGGGACTCAGAGAGGGGGATGTGACTGCTGAGGAAGCCGGAGGTGCTGTGGAAATCACGGTTGCCGTGTTGTTGGAGGTGGTGTCTGTAGTGCCTGAAAAGAGAACTGGATTAGAAAATGACCTTCTGTAAATGATTTTAGAAAAATGGGAGCTTTATTCAGCCATACTCTAGAATCAATGGGATAATTAAACTACTAACCAGGAACCTCTAAATTGGTCTTTTTATTAACCTAGTCTAGTATTTCCATGGAAAGTAACCGCAAAAACAAGCATTTTAGAACCAAAGCTATGAACCCTATACTTTAAGAGACAAGGGCAATAAAGCAACCATGAAAGAAACAGAGCAGTTCTCCATTGCCAATTTCCTATTCAAAAAAACAAAAGAAAGAATCACAGAAGCTCTCATTATGGAATAATGCTCTGGGGAAGAAACAGAAGCAAAAAGGGAAAGATTCTGTAAAGCTCTTTTTCATTCAGTAATCTCTCTAGCAGTCTCCATAGGAAAATCAAAACAACAATGACAAGAAAAACTGCACATTAAATACTTTTCTAAGAATTAAGTGTCAACAATATACAGAGATAGTATATAAATAACTAAAGGTATACGTCTAGATGGCTTGTTTGCATTAGAAAATTCAACTAGCTCTCAAAAGTCCACTGCAGTAAACCTTTTCTTATTTATGGAAAAAACAACATACAATGATACTACGAATCTCATAAAAGTTAGCACATAAAATGAGGACCTATGAAATTATTATTTGCAAGGCCTTAAACAAAATCAAGGTGCCTGAATTTGTGCTTAAGAAGAAGAACAAATGTTTGGACATAAATGACTAATTGACATTAAAATATCATTACTAAACACTAAAACACATTCACTGGGATTGTTTCATGTTCAAGATCAGCGTTGCCTAACAGAAATACAATACATACGTAATTTCAAATTTTCTAATAGCCCCATTGAAAATAGTAAAAAAAAAAAAAAAAAAAAGGTGAAATTTCAATTATATATTCCAGCTAACCTAATATATCTAAAATATTATAATTTCAAGATGAAATCAATATTAAAAAATTGAGTTATTTTGCCTTTTTCCTTTCTAAGTCTGGAAATGGTATGTATTTTATAATTACGGCACATCTAAATTTGAACTAGCCACATTTTAAGTGCTCAAAAGCCACTTGTGGCTAGTGGATGACACATTAGATACCAAAGGTCTGAAATATGTCTGGAAGTTAGGCCTGCAGGGACCCAGAGCCAAGTGTGACTTACAGAATGTTAAGTTACTCTGCCTATAGCAGAAATGGCTCATAAAGCTCTCATGGGATAGATAACCTTCCACAAAGCAGAAGCTGCCAACTGTCCCCAGTGAGCTGTAATTTTGATGCTACCTATAAAAGACAGTATGTGTAGAATAGGCCCTCTTATTTCAGTTATCAGCAAATGCTACATATTACAAAAACAGGCTGTCTAAACTAGCTGGAACTTAATTTAACGAAATTCACTATGTTCTAGGATATAATCAACCACATACAGTTGGTTCTCTGTACCCGCGGGTTCCGTTCTGTGGATTCAACCAACTGTGGATTGAAAATATTTGAAAAATAAAAAACAGTACATAAAAGTAGTATAAGTTAAAAACAATACGAAATAACTATATACATAGCATTTCCACTGTATTAGGTATTGTAAGCAAGCTAGAGATGATTCAAGTACATGGGAGGATGTGCATATGCAAATACTCTGCCATTTTATGTAAGTAACTTGAACACCCTTGGATTTCGGTATCTGGTGGGCATCCTGGAACCAGTACCCTGAGAATACTGAGGGATGATTGTATATGTATAAAGCAGAACCTAAGCAGTATTTTCTTAGGATAGAGAATCCAAAAAGACAAAAAAAAAAAAAAATCTAAAAAAAAAAATCTATAAATTTTCAATATAATTCTCTGAGGTATGGAAGACTTTCAATATTAAAAAACTCAGACCAACAAAATAAATATTTCAAACCTATAAGGGTATCACATTGGAAAAAATTTTACGTAAAAGATAATATTTCTTTGTTGATAAATCTATTACTAAGCTGCAGAACACTCTCTTCTCACATAATAGCCTTACCACAAATCCAGGCAGTTTTTTCCTTCCAAAATCTGTTTTGACGCCTTATTCTGGTCTAGTCTAAGAACATCTAGAATTTAACTCTTTTCTCATTTCTCCTCGGTTTTTTTCACATGTCACAGAGCTAGGAGAAACTTAGATATCATCCAGATCAGCACTAACTCTTAATTTCCCTACCTCCTACAACGCTGCACGAAAGTGGTTGTGTGCTTGCTGAATGAATGAGGTGAACACATCTTTCTTATTGCTGAGTGACAAGACAGGATCTTCTTTCTGCCCTTCTCAAAAATATAAATTATTTCTTCTTATTGCAGCTTCCCCTAAATATAATTACATCTTTGTGGATATTATTAATCATATTTTCATTCTTTATTTCTTCTGTTCTAAATCTATCAGACCTATCTGTATCACTGAACATCTGATGCTGTGTTGGGTCCTGTGTTTGGCAGATTCATACACATTTTTTCACTTTTATCCTCTTCTCCTAAGACCTGCTCCTTGTCTTATAGAAAGGCAAACATCTTTTCCTATTTCTCCTCTACTGCTAAGAAATTTCAACATACTTACAATATTTTCTCGACCAATTTCTCACCTTATCTAACCTTATTTTACTGATGGGCACTACTTCCTTTCAAAGTTCTGAAACTGAAACTGCCCATTTTCATAAGAACTGATATCTTGAAGTCAAAAGGCTTACAATGGCTATTTTTTTTACTCTCCACTACCACTTTCAAATCATTCAGTATCTCTTTTCTAAAATCCCGTATGTTTAAAAAGAAAATCTCAGTTAAATTTTATCAGTGAATTTAACCTGAGCCAGGAGATGATGACTCCAGAAACCACACAAAGTTGTTTCCTCTGGTTGTAATTCTCCAACCACATTCTAGGTATCTTCAATATAAACGTCATGTAAGCACTATGGTATAACAATTTAACATGATCTTTAAACTAATTCTCCCAGCCAGTGAGTCATGTTTTCATCAATATACATCTTATATGACCTGAAATTCTTGGCAACTTCACAATTTAATTACTTGGGCAACTTTGATCAGCGAACTTGGGCTTGCCGAGCCTCAGTGTCCTCAACAACAGAGTAAGATGCCACCGCCCACTGCACAGAATTGGTAGGATGTCATATCCAAGCAATGTGTACAGTGTGTGTGGCACTCCCTTGTGCTTTCCACTCCTTTTTTTTCAAAAAATAGCTTTACTGAGGTACAATTTGTATACCATAAAATTTGTCCAATTTAAGTATAAAATTCAACAAGTTTTCATTAATTTACAGAGTTGTACAAGCATCACCACAGTCCAGATTATGGCATTTCCACCTCCAAAAAAGATCCCTTTGCCTGTTTATAGTCACTTCCCACTCCCACCTAGTCATCTGCTTTTTGCCTCTACAGATTTTCCCTTTTTGGACATTTCATGTAAATGGAATCATACAATATGTACTCTTTTGCATCTGGCTTTTTTAACTTAGCATTTTGTTTTTAGGTTTATACATGTTGTAGCATAAATCAACACTTCATTACTTTTTATGGGTGAATGATATTCCATGTCTAGATACACCACATTTTTGTTTATTCATTTACCAGTTGCTAGGCATTAGCTTGTTTTCCAGTTTTTGGCTATTATAAATAATGCTGCTATATGAACGTTTGTGTAAAAATTTTTATGTGGAAATGTTTTCATTTCTCTTGGGGAAATTGCTGGGTAGGATGGTAAATTTATGTTGAACTTCTAAAGAAACTGCTAAAGTGTTTTCCAAAGTGGCTGTATCATTTTACATTCCCACAAGCAATTCGTGAGAGTTCCAGTTTTTCTGCATCCTTGCCAATGTTTATCATTTTTGGTGTGTTTGATTATAGCCATTCTCATGAGTATAAAGTGGTATCTCGTTATAGTTTCAATTTGCTTTTCCCTCATGTTGAGCATCTTTCCATGTGCTTATTAGTCATTCCTGTATCTTCTTTGGTAAAATGAGTATTAAAATCTTTGCCCAGTTAAAAAACTGGGTTGTCCATATTCTTACTATTCAGTTGTAAGAGTTCTTTATACATTCTAGATACAATTCGTTTATCAGATAAATAACTACAAATGTCTTCTCCCAGTCTGTGGCTTGTCTTTTCATTTTCTTTAAAGTGTCTTCTGAAGCACAAAAATTTTACTTTTAAATAAGTTCAATTTATCTTTTTTCTTTCTTTTTTTTTTTTTTAATGGATTGTGCTTCTGGTCCCATATCTATGAACTCTTTGCCTGACCCAAGGTCATGAAAATTTTCTACTTTTTTTTCCTAAAAATTTTATAGTTTTAGCTCTTACTTCCAAGCCTTCGATCCATTTTAGTTAATATTTGTGTATGGTATGAGGTAAAGATCTGAATTCATCTTTGTGCATATGGATATCCAGTTGTCCTAGAACCATTTGCTGAAGACTACACTTTCACTATTGAATAGCCTTGGCATGTTTTTCAAAAATCAACAGAGCATAAATTTAAAGGTTTGTTTTTCAACTCTCAATTTTGTTCCACTTAATCTATATGTCTATTTTTATGTCAGTATTATACTGTCTTGATTATTGTTGCATTATAGTAAGCTTTGAGATCAGGACTTGTAAGTCTTCTAACTTCATTGTTTTTCAAAATTATTCTGGCTATTCTGGGTCCCTTCCATATATATATTGGAAAGAGTTTATCAACTTTTCAAAACAAAACAAAACAAAAAACCCTGTTGGAATTTTGACTATGATTTTGTTGACTCTATAAATCAAGTTGGAGAAAACTATCATCTTAAGAATGCTGAACATGGAGTATGAAACGTCTCCATATTTAGACTTTAATTTCTTTCAGCAAATTGTAGTCTTCATTGTATAAGTCTCGAACTTCTTTTGTTAAATTTATTAACTATTTTATTTTTTTGACACCGTTTTGTATAAAGCATTTTCTTAATTTCATTTTTGGGCTGTCCATTGACAGCATA